GGCTTTAAGTCCTAAACGATTTCTAAAAATATGAAAAAAGATTAATGCCCCAGAGATGTGGTTTTTGAAAAAAATTATGAAGTTTAGTCACATCATGCGGAAAGAAGGACTGGAAGATTTATCAACTACTGAAAAGATTGCAAGGAAAAGAGAACGCGGTCAACAAAAATATTTTTGTGAAATCCTTGTGTCACCACATTTCAACTACTACAAATTGTTAAAGATCAGGTTTTGTGGAGATCGATGGTCCCCAATGTCGTGAAAGGATAAGGAACGAAAGAAGAAAGTCGGTTTGCCGTAGCTCATACATTTATCAGATCGGTTCGTTGCATAAATGTGGGTGTAAGTTTTGCTTTACTGCATAACAATAAATTACATATAGTGTATATTTTGACATTTTCGCTTTACATTTTTACTTTTCGTTTTTAATTAAAAAACTTTGATTTTACTTTACTGCCCTTTAATTTTTTTTTAAATTTGAGCGGTTGTCTCAAATTTGAGTTTTTTTTTACTTTTGGCCTCAAGGTCATTTCACATAGTTTAATTGAATTCAGAAAAAAAACTTCTAGTTAAAAAAAACGCGTACATTTTATAATTGTTTTTATTGTCTAACTGTGATAAGATTTCACTGCTTTGGTTCTGTGTTTATAATTTTTATTATTTTGTTATTTTAATAATTTTATTTAAGTTAACTGTTTCTAAATTTTGACTTTTTGGTTTCCATGTCTATTCATTTCATTTAATGGTTTCAAACAACTTTGATATGATTGACAAAAATTAAGGAAATAATAACGAATAATAATAATAATAAATAAATAAGACTTGCATGAAATGATGGTTATGATTGCACGTAATTATTCGACGGGCCAATAAAACATTTGGCAAGCAATCAAACACAATCACACAATCACAGTTGACTCACGATAGAAGTTGATTTTCAAAACGTTGTCTACGTTGTTGTTGCTATTTTAATTGTTTTTGTTGCAGATAGGAAGATCTATTTTTATTACTGTTTCAATATGAAGTCATTTCTAAATTTAGAAAGTGTTTCATTCTTACACACGAACTCGTGAAAATAATTATTTGATCAATTGATAGCTTAAAATAGGTTATGTGAAATATGTTGAAGGAATAAAAAAATATATTGGTATGAAATAAGTTATTGAGAATGATGATGATATATTTGAACCAACCGAAAATAACCAACGTTCCCCCTAACAATACAAATTACAAAAATATTTTGAACAGTCAACTAATTTGTTTCTTCAATAATTGCCTTCAGAAGTTTTCATACATGCGAATCGAATAAATTTTTTTTTCAAATTCTTAAATTTTAATTTAAAAATATTAAATTTTACGTATTAAATCTTTGATTTCAAATGTGTCAAACAAAATTATTTAGTAAATAAAAATAAAAAAAAAATTTTTCCACTAATTGAATTTTTCCGTTACATATTTTTGCAGTTATTTTTAAATTTTGTATTCATGTTTTGACCTAAATTTAAACTTAATTGAAATATATTTACTGTTTTAAGTATTTTATTTAAGCGTGTTATAGTTGTTTTGGGCAAATTTCGTGACTGATATTTTTCAAAAGACTTTCTTTAAAAGAATATCTGATGGATTTTCTACTTGAAATTTTTAGTAAAAATTTTCATTTATCAATTAAAATAAGCTTTTGAAAATTTTCAATAATTAGTTACATAATCAACTAACATTTTAAATTTTGCAATAAATTTTTATAATTATAAATAAATTTGTAAAAATGTGCCATGGCTCGAATGAACGGATGGAAAAAGTAATGAAACAGGGTCAATAAATCTGGTTTGTTTAACTTATGGACTGGACACATGTTGCTATTGTTTTTTATTTTTATTTCGCGCTATATGGAGCAATTACAGTTTTACTCAAGAAATAAATGAGAAATAGACTATTTTTTATTTTCGATTACGTTGGTTTCATTAAACGATTCAACGTTCAGTTTTACTTACTGGTTTTTTGTTTAAATTTTTATGTAAATTATTTCAATTAAATACTTTTTGTTACTTCTACAAAGCTTTTGACGATTCATTAAGTAAAATGGAAAAATTTTGACAAAATCAAGTTAGAAATTTGCTTACTTGACATCATTTATTTTGGCAAAGTAAGACAAACTTGAGAATGATTTACGATCAACCGTTAGAAAAATCGAAAAACTAAACATGAAGCTAACTAACGCGGAACAGGCTGTGATTTTCATCAATAATTGCATTTCTGAATGTCTTCAATATATATATATATATATATATATATATATATATATATATATATATATACTGTGTCTCTACTCTACTTTGTTGATTCCTCGGTTTGTTCAAAGTGAATACTTAACGCTCATTTAATTAGTTTTACAATTTTCAACTTAGTTTGTAGTTCGTTTTATCAATTTTTCTCACTAAAGTTTTTTGGTGAACGTTTAGTTTATTAAAATTCAAAATAAACTTATTTTCCGAATTCATGCTGCAAATAAGGCCATATTTCGATTCCAAATGAATCATCATCAGTGTTTTTTGATGTTTATATAGAAAAATATTGACTTTGTCAAAATGAACTTAGATGGAGATTGACTTTGTCAAAGTGAACTCAGATGGAAATTAGGTGTCAGGTTTCTTTATTGGCCGGTCATCTTCTTTGGTCTCTTTTTCTTCATCTATAGCATCATATTCTTCTTTGTCACTATTTACAGTGCTACTTTTTATTACTTCTATGTTTTCATTGTACGAATGATCAGTGTTTAATTTTATGTTTAATTTTGTTATTTTTTTGATGGCGCTTTTGAATTTTAACTAACTAGCGCTAGATAAATCTTTTGATAGTAATAACAATTATAATAATATATATATATATATATTTCTATATATATATATACATATAATATTATATTTAAATTTGAATGTTTGAGTTCTATTTTAAAAGTTAAAAAATAAATTAATAAGTTCAACTTCAAATTTTTTTACTATCAATTTATCGAGGTTTTAAAGAAATTTAAAATTTTAAAACTCAAATGAGGCAATAGAATTTTTATTTCACTTAATGTATCAATAAATAAATTATTTTCTTTGAGAATTCTTTCAAACGAGCAACTTTATCGCTCAATTTGTCCTATTATCGACTACGTTTTCATCATTGCCTCATATTCGACTGAAGAAACAAGTTAGTTTGTTTAAGTTTTGGCAGCTGCCGGTTGACCAACATGTTGACACTTTCATTTTCATTTCATATCATTTTATATCATGGCTTTTCATATCAACAATTAACATTATTGCGATAAAAAATTGTCATCATTAGCATAATAAATATAATAAATTTATAAAATTTTTTGTCAATAACAAAACTCGTCGTGTATGTTGCCAACATGATGTAATGTTTTTTCTAACTTTTCAACATTTTAATTTCATTTAAATAAAATTGAGAAAATTATGAACCAAATCATTCATTGCCACTGGTTCAAATTGTTCAGACATAAACAAATGTCATGCACTTTTCTCATGTTTCGTACCATTGCTTCCAGTTTCAAAACTAAGAATAACTACTTGAATGTTTCGTTGTTGATATGTTCATTATTTCAAAATGTTATGAATAGAAAGCTAGTTATATATTAACATTAATAAATTCAAAAATATCATCATCATTATCATCACCATAACAATCATCATCATCATCACGGTCACAAACATCATCATCACAAGCATCATCATCATCATCTTCATCATCCCTACCCTCTTCTTGTTTCTCTCTCAGCAGCATAGTTTATCCATCCCCGTTCACTTCTGGGGTCAACCAACTCCAGCAACAAATTGCATCAGCATATTTCGATTTACAACTGCTGGCACATATCATCTGATTTCGTTTTGGCATTTAAAACTGGCACTTAAAATAATAGTCCAACTAACTCGTTCAATGCCATTCCGACGCCATGCACTGTTGTCATCAGCGACGGCGGTCTTAATTTTTTATCAAACTTGTTCACAATCCATTTAGAGATTTAATTTGTTTTTTCGATGCAGAGCTTTCAAAAAACGAAATTAGTTTTAGAAGTTTGATGGTTTTCATAATTTCAATTCTATAATGTGAGAAAATGTATGATTAATTTGATATTTAAAAATGTTTTTGTACTAAATTTGCAAAACCCACCAAAACATCTTTCCAGGCTTGAACATCCATACATGAAGGAAAACTAGTTAACATTATTCCCATGGAAAAGCAACTGCCGACGTTATTATCTGCACGTATAAACATGCAACAAATAAACATGACAAAAACATTAATATTTAACCGTTCTAAATGCATTGTAAAAAAATGTTTCTGTGTTTAAAGTTTCATTTTTATCATTCTATAACAATGAAACTTTCATTTTTTTTTTTGAAAAACTCTTCTCCTCAGGCTAGGATATAGACATTTAACGATAGCTTCACTACATTCTCGACAACCTTTATGTTTAATCGATTTTGTGTTTTTAATGAAACATTAACCTCATTAAAAAATGATCAATTTTCAATGAGATTTAAAATGAAATTATTTCAATTTTTTCAGAAAGGAGAAAGTTTATTTTGAATTAAACCAAGTCATTACTGTGTCTTAAACTCTTTCAACTCAAACACAATATTGTTTATGGTTTACTAAAAAATTGAGAAATTTGCAAATATATTTTAAAAATTAATCTTACAACAAAGCATTTTTGTGGTAAACATGATGCATTATCAGAACAACAGATGAATGGGGCAGAAATATATATTATATATATTTTTATATAATATAATATATTTATATATATATACCTAAAATTCAGATATATTCTTAACTAATAACTTTGTACACTATCACAAACAACGATATTATCACCTGAGATTTTTAAACTATTAATATTTTCACTTCTCTTTCCATCTTTTTGATTAAATTAAACGTAACTGAAAATGTGTAAATTTAAAGATAAATCATCATTAAAACAAACTAAATAACAGATTGTCATATGAAAGAATACAAAAATATAGTTGAAAGATGGAACTAATGGGACCAAGCACACTTGCCTCAACAATCACGAAACATCTCCTCAACTTTCCATTCAATTTCACTGATGGAGACGATGAAAAGTTGAGAAACTTCCTCATGCATCATCATTTCACAGACTCTTGCGATGAACCGACAAACTACAATTTTGACTATTTTATTCGTTTACAAATATTTCATAAATTCTATTTTCGTAATTTTAAATCTGAAAACATTAGTGAATATAGTTCAACTTCGAGCAGCAACCATTTTTTAAACATCAACAATTCAATTGGTTATAATCATGGATTTCATATTTCTAAAATTGGAAAGAACGATAATATTGATGGGCATTGGAACGATGACTCATTCAACTACACTCTGCTGAACTCAGAGGAACAAACACATGCAGACCCAAGGCAGGCGCACAACAGCAATGACATCTCACATGCCAGTTACGACGAACCAACTGCATCGTACATTAACACTTTCCTCCTTACCTACATCCCTTTAATCATCTACATCGTCGGAGTCCTGGGGAACTCTTTGTCCCTATCGGTCCTGGTTCGTAAGAGGATGAGGAGAGTTTCCACGTACACGTATTTATCCGTGATGTCCGTGGTGGATACGTTGGTGCTGACGATGGGACTGTTGCAGTTGTGGATCGGCGAGAGATCGAATTTAGGCTGGCTGAGGGACCAGTCAAATGTGGCCTGTAAGACTTTGAATGTCTTCTCTTACTCGATGAGTGACCTGTCAGTCTGGCTGATCATTGCCGTCACTGTGGAACGATTCATCGCTGTTTGTCATCCACTGAGGGCTGCTTCCATGTGTCGCCGGAGGATTGCTCTCAAGGTTCCTTTGCTGCTCCTTTTTTCTAATGTCAAAAATTGTTTCCAAATTATTTTTTTTAAATGTTTGTTAATTAAAATTATAAAGTGAATAATAAGAGTGAATTTTTTCAAAAATTGTAATTTAAAGATATTTTACGTGGGCACTGGGCATAGAGAAATGGTCAACATATGCTCACAAAACCGTCTTCAAAACATTTGATCGATCGAAATCTTTTTTTTTCTTCAGAACAATAATAAATTTATTTTGATGAAGCCAATCTCATTATGAAACCATTTAATTTCCCAACTGCTTCGGTTATTCTTACGTAAGACACCGGAGGGTGTTGCATCTTTCGCGTCATAAAAATTCAATTAGGCAAGAACAAATTTATTCTCACAAATGCTGAACAATATTTTTATGAATTTAAATAAAAAAATCTTGTTTGAAACTCTTTTAAAGAAGATTTAAATAAACAATTAAAGATGCAACTTTTCAGGTGATGATGGTGCTGTCCATTTTGGCGTTCACAGTGAATGGTCATTTCATTTGGACTGCTGAACTGAAAGTGACTTTTATTAATAAAAGCTATTGTTATAAAATTATGATAGTTACAGCGATGATGATAAAGATGATTGCAGTTGCTGTTAAAATATGAATACGATGGTGATGATGTATTATCGTTATGAAGCTACAAATTGTCAATGATCTTGGTGACTTATTTTTAATGTGTTTATTTTAAAAAACATTTGCTGACTTGTCCTCGCAATGTAAAAAAACCAATGACAATGTAAATGACACTAAAAAACATTATATTTCAGGAGTCTTCAGAAATGTTTTCAACGTACGAAATAACCGAGGAAGGCACGAACCTCTGCTCTTCCGTGAAGAAAAGTCGCTGCATGGCTGCGGGAGGGCACGAGGACTTCATACAAAAGTACTGGCCGTGGGTGGACGCGATTTTTTATTCCTTCCTTCCATTCGTGGTGATCATCAGCCTCAACTGCATGATCATCAGACGTGTGATGGTTGCCAAGAGGAGGAGGTGGAAGATGATCAGCCAGTCAAGTGTCTCCGTCAATCGCTCTGATGCCACGTCTGCTCATCTCCACCAACATCAGCTGAACGCAAGATTTAAAAATAGTTGGTTGAAACTGGTATATTACAACATTGGTGAATAAAAAATTTTTAATGGAGTTCACACATTTTGAAAATGGTATATTACAACATTGGTGAATAAAAAATTTTTAATGGAGTTCACACATTTTGAAAAATGAAGAACATCAAATTTTTGATTAACACTTCATTATTATACTAAAGAGGTCAAATAAATTTTTCAATATAAACTTCAATCAATAATATAAACTATCTTTTAAGCAAATATGGAAGAAGTTTTAAAAATTTTAATCTAATTACCAACACTAAAAACCATCAATCTGCAGATCACCCAACAGCACGTGGTCTCCACAGTTCGCAGCATCGCCACCAAGCCAAACTAACCCACCAATCAGCAAGCAGATTGTCATCAGGTAAGCAGGCATCAAGGATGGAACAGAACGAAACAAACCGCATGCTTAGTATCATGTTGCTCACAATCTCATTCGCATTCATCCTCATGACTCTGCCTAGGAACATCTACTTCCTCTTCGTCTACTGGTCCAATTACAGCAAACATTCGGAACTGTTGTCCTCACCTGGCAGCGCAGATGAAGATGCACTTGGGAAGAATATTAGTAGCAGTGAGGGTGGTGCTGGAATCTACAATGATGACCAATCTCATACGCATGCAAAGTATAGTTATTGAAATTTTTTTTACATGTTCAACCAAATTTTGATTAGGATTTAATGTTGCTCAATGTTTTCATTTTAACAAATCGCAACATTCGAATAAAATTACAGACCAAAAAAGCTTTTAATGTTTCAGTTTGTCTTCTGAATTTGTTTGTATAATTATTTTCTATCGATTTTTATAACTTTTGCAGCCTCCTGCTAGCTTCGACCCTCACAGAAATGCTGATGTTCCTCAACCACTCCTCCAACTTCTTCCTCTACTGTGCCACCGGTCAAAAGTTTCGAATGGAGCTGAAGAAGATGTTGCTATCATGGAGATCGTGCTTGTCATCGGCGCTCTGCCACCTGCTCTCTTGCTTTCCAAGCTCTCATACAACTGCTTGTAAGAAGAACAACGGTGCTCCGTGCTTTAAATGTTTTGTAAAAACAAAACAAGATTCTGCTGTTTTCAAGAGCAACCATGATATAAAAAGAACTAATTCTATGTGTTATAAAATCCAGCAGCTAAACATGCACCTGATGAAATATTCTTGCCAGTCACATTGCTTAGGAGGGGGTGATAAGAACAATTGGAGCATTCAGAAAAGATCCTCGCACACTGACGATGGTGCTAGCAACCCCGAAAGATCAGCCTGCTACCACACCGTTGTTGTAAACATGTTGTCCGATCACATGTCAGATCAGTGTTGATGTTGTCGATCCAGTTGAAACTCTAGGTGGAAACAAAACCGTCTGCTTTTGAAGCTGATGAACGTGTCATGTTTGTGACTCGGCGGAATGTCAGTGGAATGAACGTCACATCGCATGAGTTGATACTGCTAGCAATTGTTTGTCATCCATTTGTCAACATGAACAGTCGTTTTTATAATCCATTAAACTTTGTATTGCTAGTGAAAAAACAGAAATAGTTAATTATTATTCATTTATAAAAATGATGCCAAATTTGTTGTTAAATTGTTTAAAATGTCAATAATTAAAATAAATAATAATTAGACATTAGACATTAGACAGGTCTCGCAACTGCTCCATTCATTTGAGACTGCTCAGATCAGTCAGGCATTCAATTGACACGCTCGCACTTCAGCGTTTGGTTCGAGTTTTTGTATATTCTGAATTAAATTACCGCAACAGTCCCTTTGTGAGTCACCTCAAAAATTTGTTCGCGAGTTGCAGGCTATGCTGAACTGTTTGGCAATGCTAGCCATGCCAGTCCTATTTTACAAGACTTCCATAGAAACACCAACGGAAGGTTTATTTTTACAACTGCCACCAGTGACGTTCCAATAATATGAATCTTCTTTTTGTTTGCCGCCATTTCTAGAAAATTTTCAGCACGAGGACTTTCGATTTGGAATTGTTTGCCTGCTGGGCTCAATGAACTGTCAAATTGAACTTAAATGGAAATTGACTTTGTCAAAGTGAACTCAGATGGAAATTAGGTGTCAGGTTTCTTTATTGACTGGTTTCTTTATTGGCTAGTTTTCTTTTACTAGCATTGTAAATAGTGACAAAGAAGAACATGATGCTATCGATGAAGAAAAGGAAACCAACGAAGGTAGAGAAACCTGACAATAAAGAAACCTGACACCAAATTTCCATCTGAGTCAAAGTCAATATTTCCCTATATAAACTTAACCGCACTGATGATGATTCATTCGGAATCGTAATATGGCCTTATTTGCAGCATGAATTGGGAAAAAAAAATTTATTTTGAATTTTAATAAACTAAACGTTCACCAAAAAACTAGTGAGAAAAATCGAAAAAACGAACTACAAACATATTAACGCCAAACATTCGGTAGAATTTATAGAATATTGTAAAAATTATGGTCTATTACCAACAATAATAAATGAATGAGTGAGTGAGTGAGTGAGTGAGTGAGTGAATGAATGAATGAATGAATGAATGAATGAATGAATGAATGAATGAACGAACGAACGAACGAACGAACGAATGAATAAATGAATGAATGAATGAATGAATGAATGAAGGAATGAAGGAACAAACGAACGAACGACCGAACGAACGAACAAACGAACGAACGAACGAACGAATGAATGAATGAAGGAACGAACGAAAGAATGAATGAAGGAATGAATGAATGAAGGAACAAACAAATAAATGAGTGTAATTATCACTCATAAGTAAAATGAGAAATAAATTGATGAGTAAATAAATAAATTGATAAGTAAATAAATAAATTGGTAAATAAATAATTGAAAAAAAAGTATTTAATTAAGGGCAAATAACAATTTTTGCGTACCAGGCTAGCGTGTATCTTAATTATTTAAAGGTTTGCAGATCACATAACAAAAAATATCAAAATGACATTCAAAATTGTCAATTTCAAAAGATTAACAATATCCCAAATGTAATTATTATCACCAGAATTATTTTTATAATAGTACCTATGTATGCATTAGATTAGCGCTATTTTAAATTAAATCCCTCGAAAGCGCAATATTATAAGCGTAAAATTTCAAAGAAACAAACAAAAACACACACACATATGCAAACACACACACACACACATGCAAACACACGCTCACACATGCAAACACACACACACACACACATGCAAACACACACACACACACAAGAAAACACACACACACACACATGAAAACACACACACATGCAAACACACACATGCAAACACACGCTCATACATGCAAACACACACACACACACACATGCAAACACACACACAAGCAAACACACAC